TGTGTAGTGTCCTTCAGTGTCCTTTTTAACTTTTGTTGACTTGGTCTGTTTTGTCTGATACAAGAATAGCTTTTCCTGCTCTTTTTTGTTTTCTATTTGCCTGGTAGAACTTTCTTCAGTCCTTTACCTTGTGGGTGTCACTTGCAGTGAGATGGGTTTCCTGAAGACAACAGAAGGATGACAGATGCTTCTTTATCCAATTTGCCACTCTGTGCCGTTTGAGTGGCACATTCAGTCCATTCACATTCAAGTTAACCCTTTGAACTCATATATTTCCTCTGAGGGGACATTGTAAATCTCGCAAACCACATGGATGTCCCTTCTCAGGGGTCATAAAGAGATTGTTGGTGACTATACAGGACAACCTTATGCAAATGCAAATTTTTCAAAACTGTATGTTTCCTTAAAGTTTTCTATTCAAATTGCACCAAAAAAAAGCAAATAAAGTGATGGAATATATACTGAGATACACTTTTAAAACATCAGCTGATATCAAGTAGAAAAAGAATGTGTGAAGTGCTTTCACAGTGGTGCTGACACTTCTTTGTAACAGAAGGTAACAATAAAGAGTGTTTGTATGAGAAAGACAGCTGTGGGTGGACCCCTTGTATCATAGGGCATAAATTGAACAGATAGATAAGCAAGTTATTGTAACCTTAAAGGAAGGGCACTTTCGAAGTTGAAGTATTGAAGTATGCTTTTATTTTTTTTTTTGAGTTGGAGTCTCACTCTGTCGCCCAGACGGGAGTGCAGCGGCCGCTCCCGGCCACCGCAGCCTCGACCTGCTGGGCCCCGGCGATCCTTCCGTCTCAGCCTTCCGAGTAGCCGGAACTACTGGCGCGTGCTACCATGCCCGGCTAGTTTTTGATTTATTGTGGAGATGAGGTCTCGCCAAGTTGCCCAGGCAGGACAGCACAGATTGAATATATCTGTCTGCAGTAAGTCGGAAAAGTAAAATTGGAAAAGTAATATTCTTTTGATAAGTTTCGTTTCATTAATTTACAATTAGAAATTTTTTATCCATTTATTTAGCTTGCCGAGCAATGGCAAAACAAAAAGACAAAAGCAAAAGTTATAATACAAGCAGCAGCGAAGATGAGTTAGATTTAGACTCATCTTTGTGGTTTTTAGGAATCACAAATGCGTCTTTCTACATCATCTTTGAATGACAGACTAGACAATAAATTACGTATTATTAATGTGGGAGGAAGAAAATGAGACTGCGCTGTCTACTCAAATAGTAAAACACCAGATGGAAGATGGAAGACAAATTGCTATTGCACAACATGTATCAATGAACCTGCAATGCTTTCAGTGACTGTTTCACATGTTACCATGTTAGAAAAGTATAAGACATAAAATTTTGATTTTTTTTGTCATACGTTTCTCAGTGTCCGAAATTCCATTATAAGCCAGATGTCATTAAAATAGAATAACTGATTTCAGCGCTATACTACTTAATATGAAGCAATTTATTTTTCACTTTTTCATCAAAAACGTGGTTCAGTTGCTGGTTGGTTATCCGTGAGATGTCTCTGAGCGCAAATAATTCATATTGATAAATGGGAGTTTGTTCCTGTCATAGTGCTGTTAAGAGTCTGTTTTGCTTTTTAGTTTTCTTTGGTTGACTCGTATAGTCTGTAAACCGTGTGCTTACCTGTGCTTTTACAGATGGATGGAACCATTCTTTTGTTTCTGTACTTAGAACATTCTTAACCATCTCCTGAAAGGCTGGTCTGGAAGTGGTATATTCTCTTAGAGATGGAATGTCTGGGGAGGATTTTAATTTTCCTTCATTCATGAAGCTTAGCTTGACAGGATAAGAAATTCTTGGCTGGAATTGCCTTTCTCTAAGAATGTTAAAGATGGGACCCTAATCCCTTCTGGCTTGTAAGGTTTCTGTTGAGACATCTACTGCAGTTCTGATGAGTCTTCCTTGGTAAGTGGTCTGTCCTTCTCTCTAGCTGCCTTTAGGATTTTTTTTTTTTCACGCTCCCCTTGTGGGCTATTAGGTGCCTTGGCCATGGTCTTCTCATATAATACCTCACAGGAATTCTCTGACTCTGTTGTGGCTACATGGCTGCCTCCTTAGCAAGATAGAGGAAATTTTCTTAGATGACATTTTGGAAGGCTTGTTCCAGAGTGTTTCAGTTTCCCCTCCTCTCTCAGGGATGCCAGTAAGCCATAGATTTGGTCTCTTTACATAATTCCAGATCTCTCCTAGGTTTTGCTCATTTTTGTCTAAGTCTTTTCTCTTTGTTTTTGTCAGACTGGGTTAGTTCAATAATTCAGTCCCCTACCTCTGAGATTCTTTCCTCTTCCTGGCTTTTTCTGCTGTTGAGGGTTGCTATTTTGTTTTGAAATTCCAGGAGAGAATTCTTCATTTCCAGAAGTTCAGATTAGTCCTTTCTTAGAATGGCCGGCTCAGTTTTCACATCCTATGTTGTTTCCATGGCCCGGATAATCTATGTCCCCACTTGTTATGGCTCTTGTTGAGTGTCTTTGTCATCCACGGTCTGAATTCTATGTCTGTTATTAGGGATGGGTCATTCCAGATGAGTTCCTTTGCTTGGGATCTGGAAAGTCCTTTTGTGGGTATTGACTTGTTAAGGCTTTGGAGATTGCTGGTGTTTTTTTTGCTGCTGCTTCCTCATCGGTGAGGGCAGACTGTTTCGGGTTTTTTGTTATTTTTATTAGATAAGGTAGCTACTGTTGGGGTGGCAGTTTGTACTGCTTTATTTATTTTTATTTATTGAGACGAACCTCCCTTCTCTGGCTTGTCTGTGAAGGGCAGTGGTGGCAGGAATAGTGGTGCACTGAGGGAAACCGACTGGAATGGCTTCACTGTCGCCATCTGGTGGGAACGCGAGAGACCTTCCCTCTATTTCAGAGGCTGTTCCTTCCTTCCAGCAAAGATGTCTGGGTGCTTGATGGAGTTCTTGCATACTCCTCCTCAGACCTTGTGTCTGGACAGCAGGATTTGCAGGTGGTCACGAAGGACCCTGTAGCTGTCCTCTGGCCCAAGTGTTGTTGGGGTGTGTGGCCGCCTCCTGTCTGGCAGCAATTGTCCCTTTTGCCCAGGGGCAGAAGTAAGGTTGTTATCAACATCTGGCCCTCAGCTCACAGGTGGGCTGGGCCACAGGGTGGAGAGGTACCCCACCTCTTAGACTCCCTGCTGCTCTGTGGGAGGGGCTATGGCAACAATTGCAGCCCTACAGGACAAGCAGCGTCTGCAGCCCTAACTGGAGGCCACAATAGCTGCAGAGCTGGAGAACCGTCCCCAGAGTGGTCGCCTTGCCCCTGCTGGGTGCTGGGGAAGAAAAGAATACAGGCCACCCCGAAAGGGTGTTTCCTGCTGAGCCTCTTTGTGAGGGGCTCAGTGGCCACAGCACGGGGCTCCTGGGAACTGGACTTTTCTGGGATCTATGTGTATACTACCAGTGCCTCTATCTATTAGGGCAGCCCTCTGCACCCCGCAGGTGTTATAGGGGCATGGGGAGAGGGCCTGGTGGTTTCTCCCTTGTCTGAAACTGCAGAGGCTTACACGAGGTGTGCAAAGAAGAAAAGCTGTTGCTTTCACTTACTGCTTCTGCCTCTGAGGTCTGGGCCACTTCTAGGGGTGTCCTGGGCTTGGAACTGTCTGTCCTCCGTAACCCAGGTGACCATCTGATAGACCTCAGCTTGGGTTTTCAGATGGTCCCGCAAATTCCTACGTTCGCTCCTACATCTAGGTTTCTTTCTCTGAGAGCTGTAATCGTGTGATGTTTTCAGTCAGCTATTATTGACCCCCACACTAAATTTTCCACTCAGCCTAAGTAGCCCTCTTCATCTCTGTATTTATTGACTTCTCTGTGTACATATGTTTGTATTTACACATATGCACAGACATGTAATTTTGAATAAAGTGTTGTATGTAGCATTAACTATAATATAAACATTATGCATCATTTTAGTATCTGTCTCATTTTTTATGACCACAGAATATGTTGCGGTGTAAGCAGCTCATAATCTTTCACACTGTTTTAAGAACATCTAGTATGTTTCAGATTTTTTTATTTCCTAGATTAGCAATAACAGCAATTTCCCCCAGTGATTTCCAAATCAGTTTTAAGTGCACTTAGAAGATAGAGGGATAGCATATAAGTGTTTAGCAAAATGTGGATATTAAACATATACACCATCCTGTGTGGGAGGGGAGAAACTCAAGATACAGAAAACTGTTAAGCATTTTCAAATTTTAAAAAGCAACTGTAGCCAAAGTGTTATGATGATTGAGCAAAATTACGAAAAATGAAAAATTAGTTAAAATTACAATTTAAAAATATACATGTATGCCTTAAAAGTTTAAAACTTTAATTGATTTGGTAAAGACATTGGGGTAGTAAGCTTATTTTAAGTTCAATGTTCAATTTGTCTGTTTTTTCCCAATTAAAATGAAATTCTAACTGTTGCTAATTTTTTTTTTTTTTTTGAGTTGGAGTCTCACTCTGTTGCCCAGGCTGGAGGGCAGTGGCCACTCCTGGCCACCGCAGCCTCAACCTGCTGGGCTCCGGCGATCCTTCCGCCTCAGCCTTCCAGGTAGCTGGAACTACAGGCGCACACTACCACGCCCGGCTAATTTTTTTGATTTATTGTAGAGATGAAGTCTCACCAAGTTGCCTAGGCGGGTCTCGAACCCACGGGCTCAGGCAATTCACTCACCTCGGCCTCCCAAAGCGTGGGGTTACAGGCTGAGCCACCGAGCCTGGCCGCTAAATTTTAAATAAATAGTTAAGTAATTTGATCTTTACTGCTAGTTTATCTTGAATTTGTATCTTTTCTGTTAACATACTCTTCTTTTCTTGCTATTTTTTCTGATTAGAAAAACTTGCCTGAGATTGGATGAAATAAATAATTACTTCTTTGTTTTCATGTTCTGAGTAAGGTAGTTTCATAACTGGTTTGATTTTGTTAACAATTTTAGCATCTCTGACATTGGTTCATGATGGTACTCTGTTTAGTGACTTCAGATGAAAGCAATAAAACCTGGGGAAGAAACACAGTCTTTCGACAAGAGGAATTTGAAGATGTAAAAAGAAATTTTAAGAAGAAAGGTTGTACATGGGGACCAAATTCCATTCAAATGAAAGAAAGAACTGATTGCAAAGAAAGGTACATGTGTTGCATTTGTGGTGTCCATTGGGTACTGTGGTAAATAGTGTCTGTGTTAATATCTCAAGAGTTCTTTTCTAAGGAGCAAGTATAATACAGAGATATATGATATTAATTTATTCTAGGGCGAGTTTATCATACTAAATTATTATTTAGTTAAGCAGTTAAAATATTTCCCTGATATTTTTTCTGCCTCACTTTAAGATTACTTACTTTATCAGCTCTTTGAAACTTGAAGCACCGTTGTGTTCTTTACTACCTTGAAAATATTGGCATATATCCACCAAAACCTAATTTGTATGTCATATGGTTCTATTATATGAAAATAAACATCTTTCTCTTGTAGGATAAGACCTCTCTCAGATGGTCACAGTCCTTGGTCAACGCTCTTAATAAAAAATCAGAAAACCATGCCCTTGGCTTCATTGTTTGTGGACCAGCCAGGTAAATATGTTTCAAGAAGCAGAATTTGTTTGAGTTTGACTTAGCATCTGAGTGCTCTGAAACTTTGCTTTAATAGTCTTTCATGGTCATTAATGTTGCAGAACAGAGGCTAATGAGGAAGCTTTTTTCTTCTAGCATTACAGAAACTCAAAAGTTGTTTTCCATCAAATCTTTATGATAGAAAGTAATTAAGCTCCACGTGTTGTTTGGGAATTTGTAACTCCTGTATCATAAAAATTAGTATCACAATTAATTATGTAGAACCACATTAATTTAGTGTCGGAGATATTAGATGTAATAGTACAGATCCCCTGAAAGTTCTGCTGAGATTAAGTAAGGGTTAGGGCTTCTGGCCTGTTGACATGATGAAATCCCATGATGCAGGTTGACAGTGGGAAACTACTGCTTGGAGAATTTTATGTTGGAATGTAAATATATCACTGATTCATTTTCAGTTTTCAGTATTCATATTCAATATGCAGATATTAAAACATGGAAGAAATGGAATTATTTAAAAACTTCAAGGATGGGGCAACTCCCTCGGGTCCCTTCCTATTGTGGGAGCTTTTCTGTCCTCTCAGTAAATCCTGCTTTCTCACCAAAAAAAAAAACCTTAAAGCATGGTTATTAAGAAAGAAAAGAAAATTGATCTTTATACATGGCCATTTAAGAGGACCTTTAAATACCATGTTCAAATTAAAGATTTTTTTTAGCAAAATTTAAAAATATACACTTCTTGACTTTATTATCAGGGTTATGCTTAATTTTATAAGCACTTTTTCACTCACTACCTGGGCTCAGCTTCTCCTGCTGAAAGCTTCTCCTTTATGAAGGGAAAGAGAGCTTAGGTAAGCAGCGTTAGAGAGTAGAAGGATCTTGAATGGAAGAAAAAGAGGGTACCCTGAACAAAAGGCACCAGTGGGAAGAGCACAGTCTTATTTGGAAAAGAGTCAGCATCCTAGATTGTCTAGATCGTCTAGCATCTCAGATTGTCTAAATCGTCAAGCATAGGTTCCGATGATGGGAAAATTAGAAGTTGTATTGTGGATTGCTTTGGAAACTAGATTAAGGAGACTGTTATTTGATCATTTATTGTTAAGCATATATGAGGGGGCAACCCCCAAAATCCAGAATTTATTTATAAAAATTGTGTATTTATTCGTACATGTTTAAACTTCAGTCACCTTCGAAGTACTCTCTGTTTGATGCAATCCACCTATGGAGATGCTTTTTCCACTACTCAAAACAGTTTTTGAATTCATCAGTTGTGGTGTCTTTTAGTACTTTTGCCGTTTTTTGTGTCACCTTTTCCACATGAACGAACCATTTCTCTTTGAGGACTTTTTCCATCCAGGAAAACAAAGAAAAGCTGCCTGGGGCGAGATAGGGTGACGGGGGCGGGGCGGGGGGGCACGGGGGTCATGACGTTTTGGGTCAATAACTGCTGAACACTCAGTGGGGTATGGACAGGTTGTCCGTGTAAATCACCCATTATGGAGTGGGCAAGTGCGTTGAAAGAATCTCCAAAAAAAAATTCCCTGATGCCAAACACAGCCTCTCACAACACCACTAGCTGGTATGCTGATCTGATGGGTTCCTGGAACACTTACCTAAAGGGAAAGCTTGTACTAGGAGGGGCTTCCACCCTCCAAAAAGTAATTCTGGTTTTTTCTGGGGGGAGGGTATCCTCCCTCATAAATGATAAGAATTTTAGCTTCCTTTTAAACTGGTAGGATGATTTGTAACCCTCTGGGACTCTGTAACCCCTTTGGAGCACGTTATTCTATTGTGGTGGTCCCCAAACTTCAGTAGAAGTTTGCTGAAACACAGACTGCTGGGCTCTACCCCCAGATTTTCTGATTTCATAGTCTGGGGTGGGCCAAGAACTTGTATTTCTACCAAAGGTCCAGACCATACACTTTGAGAGCCACAGATCTGCTACTTAATGGTTCTTTTACACACAGGCAAGCTATAGATAATGCGGCCTGACACTTGGTGTGACGTATTTAGTGCCTATATGGATGTGTGCGCGTCTTTGTATCTTGATGACTTTGTTTCTACAATAATTTCTTTCTTTTTTTTTTTTTGGAGTTCGAGTCTCACTCGGTCGCCCAGACTGGAGTGCGGCCACCGCAGCCTCGCCTGCTGGGCTCCAGCGATCCTTCCGCCTCAGCCTTCCGAGTAGCCGGAATTACAGGCACGCGCTACCACGCCCAGCTATTTTTTTTTTTGTTTTGTTGTTGTAGAGATGAGGTCTCGCCTGCCCAAGCAGGTCTCAAACCCGCGGGCTCAGGCCATCCACTCACCTCAGCCTCCCAAAGGCGCAGGATGACAGGCTGAGCCACCGAGCCCGGCTGACAATAATTTCTATTACTGATGCTGATTAAAAGTAATGTCCTGAAGGACAGGAAACAGCAGATGGTTTACTTGCTGGTGTATCTGCAGGGAATCTTGAGTCGTAGGGCCTTGGAGTCTTGAAGATGACTGCATGTGTTTTGATTTAAATGAAATATTTATTTATTAAATGTATTCTTATAATTAAATTATTTATATATGTATTAAACGTCAGCTTTATTTTACAATCTAGTTTGAATGATTTTTGTCATAAAGTGGTTCTCAATGTGTGTATTTATGCCTTTATTAGGGGCTTGTGAAGAGCCAAGACTTTCCCCTGATGGATTAGAACACCGAAAACCAAAGCAAATAAGATTGCCTAGTCAGGCCTACATTGATCTACCTCTTGGGAAAGATGGTCAGAAGGAGAACCCGGTGGAAGCTGAGAGCTGGGAGGAGGGAACCTCTGGCAACTCTGCCTCGGGCTCTCCTCAAGTGACTCCGACAAATAGTCTGAAGAGATCACTCCAGAGAAAGAAAACAGAGTCAGCTTTGTACGGGTGCACCGTCCTGCTGGCATCGGTGGCGCTGGGCCTGGATATCAGAGAGCTGAATAAAGCACAGGCTTCTGAAGAACCGTTGCCCAAGGAAGAAAAGAAGAAGCGAGAGGGACTCTTCCAGCGTGCTTCCAAGTCCCGCCGAAGCACCAGTCCTCCCACGAGGCTGCCGTCCACAGGCGGGGAGGCTGGCGGCCCGCCCTTCCTCCCATCGCCAGCTGCCCTGAGCCTTCTCTCCGTGCCTTCTCTCTCCACCAGGTGCTTGCTGCAGACGGATGGTGAAGATCTGTCCATGGGCAGCACACCTATCACCTGTGACCCCAAGATGCCCCCTCCAGACTTTTGTTCTGCCATTCCAGGAAGTAGTCGGGAGCCAGCCCTCATGCCAAGACTCGAGACTGATTGTAGTGTCTTGAAAAACCTGTCTCCTCCCTTCTTGGAGCAGACATGTGGGAATGTGCCTTCCTGTGCGTCTTTAAGAGAGAGACTCTCGCATCACAGACGGACCATGTCTGATGGAAGCCAGACCCCAAGTAGGTTGCCGAGGTTGGCTAAAAGTAGAAAACACTATTGTAGAGATTAGTGTGTGAAGTGGCACGGAGATATGATTTGGTCTTTTCCTAGTGGTGATATTTAATAGTTTGTTTTTACTATTAATATAGGTCTTTGAATTTTACCCTTCTCCTATTTGATTAAAATTTAACAGGAGTTTAGATTTTGGGGAAAGTGCAATTAAATTTTAGTAACTTCAACGTATAGAAGCATGTTAAAGCAGAAAGAGCACCTGGAGAATAACTACCCAACCCCTTTGCATTACATAGAAGACACATCATTTGCCCAAAATCCGAAGCAGTGATTTAGTGGGAGAACTGGAACTAAACCTGCTTCCTGACCAACCCTGTGATACCTTGTCTACTTCATCACATGGCTTCATTCTCGGTTTAGGTTGGAGCTGAGTTCAGCAGGTGTATCAGTTTGCTAAGGCTGGTATGTCAAAGTACAGCAGACTGGGTGTCTCAATGAACACACATTTATTTTCTCACAGTTCTGGAGGCTGGAAGTTTGGAGTCAAGGTGTGGGCAGTGTTGGTTCCTTCTGAGCCCTTTCTTCTTGGCTTATTGATGTCGTCTTCTCTCTGTATCCTCAAATTGTCTTCATTCTGTGTGCGTCTGTGTCCGCATCTCCTCTTCTTACAAGGACACCAGTCAGATGAGATTAGGGCCCACCCTTATGATGCCGTTTTAACTTAATCCCCTTTGTAAAGACCCTATCCCCAAAGATGACCACATTCTGAGGTGCTAGGGGTTCGGGCTTCAACCTATGAATTTTTAAGGACACAGTGCACCCCATGATAGCAGGTATTACCTTACTGCTGAATGATACACCAAACAGTTCCGAGAGGTATATGTCCAGATATGGAAACTCTGAAAGGAAAATCAAATTCTGTTATAAATTTTTCTCTAGTCCATTAAATGAGAAGGGCTTGGTGAGAAGGCAACCACTGGTATTTCTACAGCACTATGTAGATGATAAAGCATTTTGACGTAAATTTGTGTCTCTTAGTCTTTATGAGCACTCTGTCATATACATGTTCCTGTTCAGAAGTAGGGGAACTGAAACTCATGGAGAAAATTAATGAATTATCCAAGAGCTCACAATTAGAAAGTACTATTGTCAAGATTTATGCTTGGGTTCTGTCTGCTGTATTAGGGTGTCTCTCCCTTCCTCACAGCTGTTCTTTCCATTTCTAAAATTCAGTGAGTATTGACATGTTTGGATTATGCTGTTCTGTACTAGAGTGTACTCACCATTGAGATATCTGGGGGTTAAGTGGCACTTTATTTATTTATTATAAAGATGTGGGGTACAATTCAGGGTTAGGTATATAAGCATTAATCATGCAGGTACCCTTGTTGATGAGGTATGCCCCTCCCACGCCTAGCAGTTTCCCACAACTGCCAATCCCACCCTCCTCCCCTGACAGTTTTCCACTACTGCCAGTCATTTTCTTATAGCATTATAATTGTTCAAGGTCAGCTTATGAGTGAGAACATATGGAACTCAGTTCTTTGTTTCTGTGATAAATCACTGAATATGATCGACTCCAAATCCATCCAAGTTGCTGCAAAGTCCATATATTTGTCCTTCTTTATGTCTGCATAATATTCTTGTGTATATATACCACATTTTTTTTTTTTTTATCCAGTTCAACTTCGATGGGCAACATGGTTGGTTCCATGTTTTTGCTATTGTGAGTAGAGCTGCAACAAACATACATGTGCAGGTATCTTTTTTGTAGAATAATTTGAGTTCCTCTGGGTATATTTCCAGTAGGGGCATTTTAGTACTGACCTTTAGGAGATACTGTAACTACTTTGGAAGAACAAGTGATTTGTAGTCATAGGGCAAAGGTTCAGGCTCTAGTTGTGCCATTTGGTACGTTTGTGATCCTAAGAAAATTATGTAAACTGTTTTCTTCTTTGAATGTTTAAAAGATGGTGTAGTGTCCTGGTTAATAGTATGGAAGCTATCTGGGTTCAGATCTCTGCTCTGTCGCTTATTTGCTGAGTGACCTTGGACAAATCGCTTAACCACTTTGTGCCTCAGTTTATTCATTGATGAAATGAGGATAATAATAATATACTTACCTCATAATAAACTTACCTAACCTCAGTCTCTATTAAGATTGTGGTTAAAGTCAGATGGCACACTAACTGTGCTGCATAGATTGACTATTATTTCTTTCGTCTATGGAGATGATTACAATAACCTCATATATCTACCATGAGTATTAAGTGAGGTAATGCATTTGAAAAATGCTTTTCAAATTGTAAAATGCTACACCAGGGTTGGTTATAAAGCTGTATTAAAATAGAAACTACTTTCGTTCTCTTTACCTTTTACTCTACCTCTTTTCTTTAAATGCTATAACTAGACATGATATTTTTCAGATTATTATTCATTGTCTTTAGATAAGTTGGTTTATTCTCCTTTTGTAAGTCAGTGGATTTGGTAATTGATAATTGAATATGGAGAAATCCTAGCATACCAATAACATTAATAACTATTCTTTTTATCTTACTTATAAGATAAAATTATTTACCAAAGTGGTAATAAGTCAGTTCTTCAATACAAACGAGAAGAGGTAAAGTGTAAAAACCATTTTTTTCAAATTATAATCTAAAGTTAAACTTAATAATGTTAGCCATCATTTCTAAAAGTCTTAAATTTATTACCATCTCATCCATTTTGAAAGCTACCCTGTTTATACAACACTTACAATGCTCATTGGCTTACATGCTTTGTTTACAAATACAGTTTCCATAGGTGGAAGTATTTTTTCCAACTTTGAAGTACTATTTCGTTTTAAAAAATTAGCTGGGCCCAATCAGCTACTCAGGAGGCTGCGGTAAGAGTATCACTTGAAGCCAGTTTAAAGCTGCAGTGAGCTATGATTGCGCCACTTCACTCAAGCCTGGTCGACACAGTGAGACCCCATCTCTAAAATAATATATATAAAATAACAGAAAACATATAAATAATATGTATAATATATCTAAATTATATGTAAATTTATAGGTATATATGAATTTTATATCTAGCCTAACAGTTGCAAAAGGTTTGTGCTCACCTTTTCTTGTCGAAGTACGCTTTAAAGTGATCACATCATTGAACTGCCATCATAATTGTTTTCCTTGATATTCATTGTTTTAGAAGCCATCATCTTTCTAATTGCCTACTGTCTTGACTTTCTCAAACAGCTGGTGCAACTGTCTCAGCCACTGGAGCCTCCTCACCCGGTCCTCACAGGACCCTGCCGAGGGAGGTCTGGCCTGAGAAACACAGAGCTGTCAGTTTCACGCCTCGGCCGTGCCCTCCCCCGCAGAGGAGCCCGTCGGATCCCCCACAGGCCATCCCTCAGAGAGCAGGGTGTCAGCCGGCACAGGCCGCCTGTGTCGTGGCTCGTCCAGAACCGAACCCTCCCTGTTTCCCTGGTGTCAAGGATAGAACTCAATTCCACGTGCCTTCGTTACTGGACGCTGATGTGGACGGTCAGAGCAGGGACAACACTGTACCTCTGTGCAGAATGAGGAGCAAAACGAGCCGACCATCTATATATGAACTGGAGAAAGAATTTCTGTCTTAAAAACTAAGTGCCGTCTATGGTTCAGGCATTTCTTTTCTTTTGTTAGGTGAACAATGAACACATCATCTCTACCTTTGCATTGTTTCAAGATGCTGTGTTTTCAAAAGCTGTGGCCACATTACTCAATTAGTAAGGGGCTCTTAACGTCTCAAAAAATGGATGTGATTGCTGATAGCCATCGCTGTTGTTTTTTCCCACTGGATTCTTACCCAGCAACTTGAAATACGTGTAAGTGTAAAACAAGAAATGTGCACCAGTGAAAACTCTGCTGGGTAGAATTACCATGAGCACTGTTTTAACGCTTGTTTTTTCTCCTTTATATCGTTGACTATTAGTACACAGCAGAAATTGTAATGAGGTGCACCATTTTTGTTTGCTTTCTTCTTTCTTCCTTCCCCCGCTCCTTTCCTTTTTCTTTTCTTTTCTTTTTTAAATTTGTGTAACAGAAAGCCAAGAAGGAACTGTGAGTTTCTTGGTAAGAATAATGTGGCATTAGTAAGTGAAGGTGTCTATTTAAAAAGTCTGATGACTGAAATAGATACACAATCCTGTTGAAACTACCTAACTTCCAACCTGGGTAACTTGATGAGACCTCATCTCTACAGTAAATTTAAAAAAAATTAGCTAGACATGGTGGCGCATGCCTGTAAGTTCCAACTACTTGGAAGGCTGAGGTGAAAGAATCACCTGAGCCATGGCTGCGGTGGCTGTGAGTGTGCCACTGCACTCCAGCCTGGGCGACAGAGTGAGACTTCAACTCAAAGAAAGAAAGAAAGAAACTACCTAACTTCAGAGGTAGAGGTAGGCTTAAAATCATAAATATGTCCAATTCTCACCTACATTATGCAGTGATCTTTCTTCCTCTCTGAGGAAATTTTACTGAATGTAACTTATGAAAGTTTTACTGAATGTAACTTGTAAACATTTTATCCATTAGAACTCCAAAGCAGACGTTAGGAGGTCAGTCATTGTCATCCGGCTAAAACTGTATTGTATGAGGCTGTGTAGTGGGTTGACCAAGACTGAGCCCTACCCATTTTGATAGTACCAAGGACAGAACTACATTTCATGTGCCTTCATTACTGGACGCTTATGTGGAACTTCCGAGCAGGAACTACGCTGTGCCTGAATGAGGCTAATGTTTAGGTTTTTCCCGTAGAAAGTTTCTCCCTTATCAATAGCCATTTATTTGGTATTCAGAAGTGGAAAGCATTTTTCTTTCTTAGTAGCATTTTTAAAAATTAAGTTATACATGCCTAGCTCTTCACAAATATCATCATGTAAAGTCATGTGTTTTAATTTCACTTTTCTCTATTTGCATAATAATCATCATAATCCCAAATACACTTAAGCACGGCCGACTCAAGAAACAGCAGTACATTACTGGGAATTTCATTTAGTTGTGGATAAATGCTACACATCTATTGGGATAAGCTGATGCGGTAAAATTGACAGCTATATTATGGATTATTTTCAGAAATGAATTTATAAAATGGGTCTTTGAATAGCAGGATTTTAAATGATTTATGAATCACTTTTATAATCATACATATAAGATACAAATAGACTACTATATAATTGCTACAGAAATGACTATCCAGGAGCTTGATTTTTTTGATTGGCCAAGTGGTTATTGAATTATGTAACGTTTGCTTGGGTTACTTTTGCCAAGTCTATCATGCTTTCCTTCTGTCTCTAGACTATAGTTATTCAGAAGACAGACAATAAATATTTAAGTTTTTCCATATGATGAAACACTAAATAAGAAACACTGATTGGTATTTTAAATTGTTCCTTGGTTAAAGTTTTACTGAATAACTGAAATGCCAGCAATTTAAAATAAATTAAATCAGGTGTGATAAAACATCTGATAGAAAAAAGGAAAATTATATTATTGGCCATTTTGGGACATCTTAATCACCTAGCAGGTATGCCCAGCAGATGACAAACAGCACGAAAGGGATGTATTAACATGGTGTATTTTGCCCTAAGGAAAACAATCTTACATTTCAGATTCTTGCAGCAAAGTCTCAGGTACTTATTCCATTTTGTTGTATTAGCATCCATTCTGTGATTCAGCTTGACTTAAGTGGTTATTGAATTATGTTATAGAAATTTGGTTTGCTCAAAATGTTGTTCATTTGAAACTGTGGTTGGCTGCTTTGTATTCAGTCATCTGGGACTATATAACTTCCAGCTAGAAGTAAAGAAAATACATGCCTAAAATGATCAATACATACATGAAGAAAAAGGATAGAGACTCAGTTTTGCTTTTAAAGCATCCCTGTATGTATGTGCATTCCTGTGTGTGCATGCTAGTGTGTGTGCATGCTTGTGTGTGCACTTTTGTGTGTGTGTGTTTACATGACGTGGGTGTGCGTCTGTTTTATCCCTCCTTATTCTGTTCTTGTTCCCCTTTACCTTTATTTTAGTCATCTCTGCATTATGATGAGTCTAGAAATGAAGCTGTTTTAAAAAGATAATTGCAATGTAATTCAATATCACATGTAACTGCAGATAGTTATTTTTTGCTGCAATCTGTTGTACATTTGTGATTTTCTATGTGTGTTAGTAAACTTAGCAGAATCTGGTTATTTATTTTTGCATAGGCTTAATTGCTCACTAAAATGTAAATTAAGCTGATTACTGTTAGTCAACAATAAGGTGCTCCCACTGCAGAGATTTGAGGTATGGGCCTAATATGCTGTATTACGAAGCCTTGTGACTGAAAGAGATGTTTACATATGTTGTCTATTTTTCTAATAAACTTTTTTTATAGCTGGTCTGTTACTCAGTGGCTTTGATTTACTCCTAATGATTGTGACTATAGTTTGTAATGGTTTATTTTGTATTCAATAAGGAAAAGGATATTAATACAGATTATTAATGCATAAGAAGCGAGGTATTACCCCCTAAATTCATTAAACTAGAGATCACTAAATGAGTCATGGGATTAAATACTTCAAAAGAAGTATAATGAAATATTTTATTTAAAATGCTGTTTGGATTACACACACATAGAAAAGTGGCATTTCATGGTGAGACTTTTTACACTTCTAGCTTTTTGGAAGGCACACTTTTGCAGAGTGGAATTAGTTATAGGAGCTGAACTTCAGCTGATGCTATAAGAAAGTGATTAGTGAGACGTAATTATTAGTATGTTTAAATCAGGAGAATTTTAAACACCACCTAGCATCCAGTATTTCATAATTACACACTAAATGATAAAAACTTGAGTGACTTGGCAAAGCAAATCATAGAGTTTTATGTAGCTCCATAGCACCCCTTACCACATAAGAGGGAGTGAAATTTAACATCTATTGTGTATCTGGTAAGTGTTGTGTGCCCTTCTAGGAGCGTGCCTATATAAAATGCCTCCTGTAATTTTCTTTAATATAGTTTGTGGAATAAGTAGTAATATTGATATTTAATTAGATATGAAATACAGAAAGGTTTGGTACATTTCCAAAGACCCAGACTGTGTCAGTCAAGTCATGACTATCTGTCTACTCATATCTATTGTAATTTTAAGCATGGTATGGAAGATGAAGCCATCTCATATGGCTCTGGGCTCAAGCGATCCTCCTAGCTCATCTTCTTGAGTAGCTAGGACTACAGTCATACACCACCATACCCAGCTAATTTGTGTGTGTGTGTGTGGTGTGTGTGAGAACCCGGAGTCTGGCTGTGATGACAAGCCTGGACTCAAACTCCTGGCCTCCAGTTATCCTCCTTCCTCAGACTTCCAAAGTGCTAGAATTACAGGTGTGAGCACCTGTAATCCAATGATAGCCAAAGCTAAGGTAGTTTTTTTCTCAATAAAAATTTCAGAAGTCTATAAATGTATGAGTACTACTGAAGTCAAAATATAGAGATGAATCTCTAAATGTAAAATGTTTTATTTGAGAAGCAAGAACTGCGATTTGAGCAGACACGTTGACCGATTGTTTTTCGGTATGGCCGAAGAGCAAAAAGAAGATTGAGAGTTTTACTAGAGAAATAAATGTTAGGTATAACTTTGAAAGAAAGTTTGTTGGCACTAAAGAATCTTTGGGGAACTGGCAAGCTTTGATTGGTAAGTGATAAAAGTAGATAAAATCAGTCGTGGGGTCATGACTGGTTATTTCAGCAGCTACCAGGTAAAACTTGCCTTAGGGTTACAAGAGGCCCTTTCAGCAACGGGACCTGTGGAAAACTTAATTTTTGAAGCAGATACTATGTGCCCAAAGTGCTTTTTCCCTCTGACCTCATGACTCTGATTTAGTTGGGCATGACAAGAATGACCCAATCCATATGAAAAAACTTTCACAGTACTTATTTAAAAGTCAAGCACCATATTAGCTAACAAACATTAATACAGTGGACTATTTCCTAAGTAACTGTAAAATGAAATAGAAAGTACTAAAACATACATATCTGTCTAATAGAGCAACTTCGAGAAATGGAATATTCTGTTCAAGGGGTTTATAAATGCTACGGCCTGAATGTGTTCCCCAAAATTCCTAGTTGGAATCCTAAGGTCATGGTATTAAGAGGCGACAGGTGATTAGATCATGTTCCCTCATAAATGGATTCATGCCCTTAGAAAAGAGGCCTGAGGGAGCTTGTTTGCCTCTTCTGCCATGTGAAGGCACTGGAGATGGTACCATTTCTGAACCAGAAAACGCCCTCACCAGACACTGAATCTGCCAGGGCCTTCATCTTGGACATTCAGCCTCCAGAACTGAAAAATGAATGTGTGTTGTTTATAAGTTACCCAGTTTATGGTATTTTGTTATAGCAGCACACATAGACTAAGACAATAAATATGGTGTAGATATTTAAGAACTGCAATATAAATATAAAATAATTGGACTTAAGCGGTCTATATTCCTTACTTATGAAAAGACCAATATGCTAAAACAGTAAAAATTAGCTTTTTTTTTTTTTTACAGCCAAGCAATATATAGCAGGTCCTCTGGTAACATTGTTTCATTCAACTTAGTTGCATTATAAAATTAATGAGGAAAAAAAAATCGATAGCTGACTGGGTCCGCTACCTGTGTGGAGTTTGCATGCACTCCCCGTGTCTATGTGGGTATCCTCTGACATCCCAAAGACGTGCATGTTAGGTTAACTGGAGTGTCCACACTGTCCCAGAGTGTAGGTGTGGATGGGTCACCCTGAGATGGAACAGGGTCCTGCCCAGGACCGGTTCCTGCCTGCAGCCTGAGCTGCTGGGATGGGGTCTAGCCACCCATGACCCTGAACTGGAATAATTGAGTACATCATTATCTTACTTGCTTGCTTTCTTAAATGCATATATAGCTCACATTTATTTCAGTGCTTAATATTAGAAGTGTCTTAGGTTTTTATTTAGTGATATTTTTGTGACTAGAAATATGCCCTAGGAATGTCAATCTTGTTTACATGAATTAGTCTATGGTGTTTCCAAAAAACTGTTTCCAAAAAACTGTGAACTGCCGGGCTCAGTGGCTCAGCCTATAATCCCACGCTTTGGGAGGCCGAGGTGAGTGGATTGCCTGAGCCCACGAGTTCGAGACCTGCCTGGGCAATGTGGCGAGACCTCATCTCTACAATAAATCAAAAATTAACTGGGCGTGGTAGCGCATGCCTGTAGT